TTTTTCCTTTCTCTCTACAAAGTACTTTGAATTATAAAAATCACAGCACCAGATATTTTCAAATGTTACTCTCTATATTTTACTATAAATAGGACATAAGTCAAATTATTAAACTAAGTCCTAAACTGTTTTGAAGTAAAAAAAATCATGATTTCAAAATACCAATTAATACCAGCTATAGCAGACACCTAAGCAAACTAATCTCACTACTCCCTTAAATATAATTGTATAATCTAATCAGAATAGCACTATGACATTATCAGCCAGCTAGATCAAGAAAAACTACTGTTCCTTTAGCTACCATAATACAATGAATAGATTTGAGTTGTAAAGTAATAGAAATTACCCCTCTTACTATAATACTTAAATGCAAAGGTTTGCTAAATTGTAACTCAAGATTCCCTACACTGCTTGTAAGGTCTTTACATGAATTTACAGTTAACTATCTTCCTTTGTTACCCCAAATAAACATAATTATAAGCTGTAAAATAAAACTGGTATATGATAAACTTTTAAAAAACTTATCATTATGGAAAATTTTCAAAATCACAGAAAAGTTGAGATAATATGATCACATATGCACTCATCACCTGGCTTCAACAATTATCAACTCATGGCCACTCTTGTTCTGTCTCTCAGTCTACCCACCTTCTACCTCTCTCCCCATCCACCCTCGCCCTCCCCAGTAACTGAAGTATTTTGAACTAATTCCAGATATCATATCATTTCATAAACATATCAATATGTACTTCTAAGAGGACTCTAAACAAAAGCAAAAACATAATACCATTTTCACATCTAAACATTTAACCGTAATCTCTTAATATCAAACATCTAGTCAGTGTTCAAATATCCCTAACGGCCTCCTCAATTTTTCTTATAATTTGTTCAAATCAGGAATCAATAAAATTCACAAACAGCAATGGTTGATACTTCTCTTACTTCTTTTTTTAATCTAGGGAGGATTCTCACTCCTCCCTTTATCTTACAATTTATTTGCTGAAGAAATCAGTTCATCTGTTTGTACCGTTTCTGACATTCCAGATTTTGCTGACTGCATCTTCACAGTATTAACATACCCCTCTATCCCCAGTATTTTCTACAAACTGGCAGCAGTTAGATCTGGACTTGACTATATCCTGGTTAAATTTTCTGGCAAGAATTTCTCATGGGTGATGTTGTACACCTTTAACAGGAGTCACATATCTGGTTGTTTCTTTTTTGAGGTTAGCACCTAGTCATAACTAATGATTAATCAGGGGTTCTCAATCCTGGTCATTTTCTTGGCAATGTCTGGAGACATTCTTGGTGGTTGGAACAACTGGGGACAAGGTGGTGCTACTGACATCAAGTTGGCAGAGGCCTGGATGCTGCTAAACATCCTACATTGCAGAGGACAATTATCTGGCCCAAAATGTTAACAGTTCCAAGACTGAGAAATTCTGAGCTAGATCCATAAATTCAGTAGTGGTTGTGAAATCTTCTGCTAATCTATCATTTCTTCTTCACTTATTAGCTTGAATATTTCTATAAAGAGAAGCCTCCCCTCAACAACTGTATGGAATTGGTATAAAAGACAAGTGCTTAACCCTTTTCTTTTATTTAGCAGTTTATAAAATAATAAGCCAGTTCCCTTATATACACTAAAGATAACCAATGAGAATTCTGTTTGGTTCTCAGTATCATTATCAACCCATGGACTTTATGTTTAATGTGTTTCAGTCCACTGCAGTTATTCTTACTGATGCTCAAACCATCCTAACTTTAGTCAGTGGAAGCCTCTTCAACCTAGCTCGAGTCCTTTTGACCCTTATCCTATAGTCTTACACAGCTTCCTTGCTTTCTGATACTGATAAGATTGTTCCCATCAGTGGGAAATGGAGTTTAGAGACCACAACCTGGATGTGTTCACCACTGCAGTTATTCTTACTGATGCTCAAACCATCCTAACTTTAGTCAGTGGAAGCCTCTTCAACTTAGCTCGAGTCCTTTTGACCCTTATCCTATAGTCTTACACAGCTTCCTTGCTTTCTGATACTGATAAAATTGTTCCCATCAGTGGGAAATGGAGTTTAGAGACCACAACCTGGATGTGTTCACCGCTACTATCTCTTTATTTTATGAATACTACTAAGCTATCCTTTCAACTTTCCAGATTATTATCCTTCAGTCAATAAAATCCTACCAAATTGTTAAAAATAATCTTTTCATTAAGCCCTCATTGAAACCATGTATAACACTTCCATATGACTCATAGATATATGTTCATTACTATGTGATTTTATGTAACATTACTATGCATTAACATAATAAAATATTATATAATAAATAAAATATAGTAACATAATAAATCAAATTTATTTTTATCCTATAGTAAGTAGACTGTACACTCAAGTATGATGAATCATTATTTACGCATTGAAGTAATTTTTATTATCCTGAAAATTTCATAATTTATGATGCAGTAAATGTAACAATCCTAATTAATCTCCAATGGAGAACTGGTTATCCAAGGGAGATTTATTCAATGAGTGGATATTTACATTGGAAAACCATTCAGAGAAATATTAAGTTTTAGTTAAAAAGCTAAATTTCTTAGGACAATCTTCTAGAAATAATGTTATAACTTTCTAAGAACCAGCACTAATGGAGGTCACAGATTCAGAAATCAAACTAATCCAAATGAGACTCAGATGCAGCAGGAGTAAGTAGTTAAGTTTTCTATTTGAACATGATACATTAATAGAAAACTATCAACCTAATTCAAAAAAATACTTAGCATGGAGCCAGGTATATAGAAAGTTCTCAATAAATGCTAAATGAAAAGAGTTAACATACCTCCTTCACTTCCTTGAAAATGCTTACGAATTCTTCATTGATGGCTAAACTTCTGCGTTCAATGTCTCCACGTAAATTTCTTCGAGTACGCAAACTATTTTCAACAAAAAAGGTTGAAAGTGCCTTGAGAGCTTCCAACATCTCCTATACAATCAGTAACAGAAGAAAATTATTGGGACTGATTTTTAAATGTTTTTTTAATCTCAAGCCAAAATGTAATAAAATCACTTTCAAATAATTTGTTTCCACTAAACAATCCAAAAAATACTAGATAACCTTCAAATTACTAACCAGTAAATTTATTTTTGGAACACAATAAGGGTACTTGTATATAATGGCATACATATACAAGGTTATTCACTGTAGAATTGTTTGGAATTGCAAAAACTGGAAATAACCTAAATGTCCATCTAAAAAAAGACTGATTAAATAAATTATGATGTATTCATTTTTAAAAAGGCAGAAATAATTTATGTACTTACATCATTTGAACTTTGAGATATAAGTGAAATAGCAAGGTACAGAAAGTTATAATATCAACTGTTAAAAAAATAAAAAGGTATATATATATGGAGGAACTCCAAAAAGTTCATGGAAAAATAGAATTGAAAGATAGTATGAATCTTTCCATGAACTTTTTGAAGTACCCTCGTATGTGCATATTTACTTGTGTATGCATAAACTATCTGTGGAAAGATCTATATAAGAAATAAGTACCACTGTTGGCCTCCAGGCTAGGAATGGAGTAACTGCAAGCAGAACTCAGAGGAATTTAGAGAGGAAGACCTCTCTGAGGTGACTTCTGAACTGAGGCCTGAGTGGTAGGAATGTGCCAGACATGGGGGCAAAGCCTTCCTCAGGCAGAGGAAACAGCAATTATAAAGACCCTAAAGCAGCAGAAAGCAGCCCAGTG